ATTCAGGGTGGACTCTGGTACCTTAATGTGTTCTAGGGTGCGGAAGAGGGCCTGATGAGGAACTGAGCCAAAGGCATCGGTGATGTCTAACCATGCAATGACAAGTTCCTTATATCTTCGCTTGGCATCCTGGACAATGGATTGGCTTAGGTAGATATGTTCGGCACACCCCTCCCCTCTATCAAACCCTTTATGTATATTCCTGTTTATTATGTTGTTAAATTCTAACCATTTTCTAAGCCTATTGCTTAGAATTGCACTGTATAACCTAACTAACGTGTTTCCTATGACAATGGGCCTCCAGCTTTTGGGTTCATCGAAGTTCCCTTTCTTACGGAGTAGTATGCATGTCCCCAGTTTCCATGTATCCGGGATGGTTTGGTGGTGTTGGCAGGCGTTGAAGAGTTCGGTGACAAGAAGGGATCCAGGATCTTCTTATTTGAGCATTGCATATGTGATTTCGTCTGGCCCTGGGGCAAACTTGCTCATGTGGGAGAGCTTATTCCAGACATCCTCCCTGGTGAAAGGCCTGGTAAGCTCATAATCAAAGGAAGCCGAAGAGGCATGAGGTATACCGTCCAAATCAGGGATGTTCCTGTTTTAGGAGCGTATCTGGCCTGAAATACGTCTTCTAGAACAGGTAGAGGGATGGGGCAGTCAGACGACTTATTCTCTGTTATTGTCCTAATTGCTCTCTTTGGGTTCCTATTGTATAGTTTTTGTACCTCGCTGCTGGATAGAGGTTCGTTTTTTTGTCTGCGTGTACTGAACTGTATTTGCTGTGATGCAGCTGGTATACTGATGTTATATTTTTTGGATGTCTGTTATTGCACTTTGTAGTGTGTTGCATATGTCTGTAAATGTTGTTGCTGACCGCAGACTGGTGAGGTGTGTCGGTTGTAGTGTTGTAAGTGCGGGCATGTGGAGGGAGAAGGGTTTTGAGAGATCCGTCATATAGGTATGGAGACTGTCCTGTAACTTAGCCCAGAGGTGTTGCGCTTCTGAAGTAGGAAATGTCATAGGGGCATTGTACGGGTATTTGTCAACGAAGATAGCACAAAGTGGGTCACAGTCGTAGGTGTTATCTTGGAGACCGCATTCACGATGTGGCTTCACTTTCCATTTGCTACCCTCGTTGAAAGCCGGTGCAATGCTCTGTGCTTGTGTATGGAGTCTATCTAAAAGTGTCTGGATGCGCTTAAAGCTGAAGGCACGGAGACCACAGTAGTAATGGGCCACAGCGTATGCTATGTCCAGTACTACTATTTGCCAGTGATTGTTCCCGTGTAGGGGGGCCACTATGTATTGTGCGTTGAAGACCTGGGGAGGGATAGTGCATTGTGTATACGCGTCACCTATCAAAACTGCCACGATGCACGGGCCGAGCAGCTCTGTCCGCGGGAAAGGCGCCATTATCTCACTTAATGTGAGTTAAAGAATTGCATCGTTCCACCAATGTGGCGCCATTACGCAATCTAAGTCAGCTTGCCAGAGCGCAATATCACGGATCCGCGATCGTCTTTCTTAATACTTATGGAAGTGTTCGCGGAAGTCCTACTCTCAAGTGCCGTTGTTAGCTGGTGAAACTGACTCAATTGTTTGCCGTGGCCCGTTTCTTTGCGGCGCAATTCATTCTCATGAACACCCGTGATTTGCGAGTCCTTGGGCTGATCCGGCGTTATATTGACACTCAGCGCAAACTATATTTCTAGGTCCGTCAGGCATCCTTTGTAACTCTACTGACTCTTCAGAAGTGCTGCAGTCCGGGAGAGGGGCGTCAGGTAAGATTGACACCTGTGCAGGCTGCTGTGTTACATGTGTCCGCCTAGGTTGCGCCAAACTGCGATTGTTCGTACCAGTGAAGCAGCAGTCAGTGCAGCGTAAAGCTACAGTGGGGACGGGGTCAGTCGCCGGTGCGGACAACGGTCGCTGTTCGCTGTCCAGCCGACTGGTCGCGCTCATCTCACGCTGCGCCTGTTTGAGACTTATGGGCAATTCGGCAACGGGTGGCACTGGGTGGTACGCGGAAGCCGCTTCCATCATCCTGGCCGGCGCCGCCGCGGGTGAGTCATCACTGACTCTGGATGCGACGTCGGTTGTAGTTACGTGCCGAGTTGCACTTACCCACAGGAATGCCTTATCCCTACGCGCGATCGGTCGGTTGACTACTGCGGCACAGGCTTCCGGCGCTTCGAGGCCATGGCGCGCACTGTCCAAACTCGCTGTGGGTTTTACTGGCACTATCGCAGCAGGGACATTGGTTTGGAACAAGCTGTTTTGGTTGGTGATGCCAGATGTAGCACTTTTGGCATTCCTCTCGGATGACATACCCTGGGTAGCGCTTATGCCCTCTGAAATAACTCGCGATGAGCATTTTCTCAAGTGCTGGTTTGCCATCCTCAGAGCGAGTTTGTGTTCCTTAAAGTGAAGGCCACAAAAGAGGCACGTATACCTCCATGTGACCTTCAGGAACCCGTGGACCCTCTTCAGATGGCGGGTTATAGCCTGATGGTTGTATGTTCCGTCCGAGAGGAATGCTGGGTAGGAGTTGCTGCAGCCCACAGGGCAGATTATGGACTGTGGCTGTGGAACTGCCACTAATAGTATAGCTGAACTGCCCTCACAAGTTAACTCAGGTTGCTTTCTTTCTAAACTCAAAGCACCTACTGACTCAATGCTCGCCGACTCAGAGGAAGCTAATGACTTATCACAACTATCGCTCCTATGCTCTAAAACATCCTTAGGAACGGTAAGAGCAGAAATAGTACTTACCTGCGAATCAGTGTCAGTGGACGGACCGCCGCCTTTGTAGCTGGGGACGAGGGGCGTGGGGTGTAGAGGTGGGCATCTGATCTTGGTCCGCTGTCGGGTCAGCCCTCTTCTGCTCGACTCGGGGTTCTTCGGGTCTTCTGCCGCCGCTTTTTCCAACTTCTGGGTCCTCTTCGCGTTTGTGGCCGTTTCGGACTTGGCTGTCTTGGCCGTAATTCGCTTCACCTTTGTGGCCGGTCTTCTTTCTTCCATCGTCCGATTTTCTTTTCGGCCGTTGGACGGGGTGTCGGCGTTCTTCAGCGATGATTCGCCGATTGGCATTGGCTGTCCTTGCGTCGTCC